TAATAATAATAATAATAATAATAATAATAATAATAATAATAATAATATACGAAACACTAATGCTCTGAGGGTCATTTCAAAAAATCCTTTCTTAGCGAGCACCTAGAAGCCAAGAGGAACATACGTGGCAAATTTCAAGTTCGTAGGCTTTACGGTTCGAGAGATTTTGTGACGACCCATGAGTGGTATTTTGCTTTTATATATAAAGAAAAAGATATTCATGAACTGGCAGAGACATGGGTAACAAGGTCAGGCAATGGGAGCCGAATTGGGGGCTGAGACTGGAAGGAACCTGGGCGTGGCTTAGCTCTATGCTCTCAGCTCCGAAGCTGCTGCTTGGGTTTTTACTTGTAACCCTTTACCGCGTTGACAGAATATATACCCTTGATATTGTAAACTTCACTTCAAATGTTATTATGTATATAAAGAAGTTAACGAATCCTGCTGAATCCGTCATCTGTGCGTGCTTTCTGGGTCTGAGTTTCTGCCGGAAACTCTAAAAACAATTTAAGACGGGAAAGAGAGAGAAATTTAGGGCGGACTCTCCCAAGTTGGAACCTACTTGGTCATCACCATCTCCATTAGCATCTTCAGTGTGGGATAGTCCTCCCAAGCCGTGAGACCTGCCAATCAAACCAGGGAAAAATCAGAAACGTTGCACGCAGCAACCAGAGTGCCGGCCACTCCTCAAACAAAACCTCCGCAAAATCACTGACGGATCATTAGGACCGTTTTAAAGGAAAAACAATTTTGAAAAGGGCCCTTTGTAAGACGAAAAAGTCTTATACCAGTAGAATGCAGGTAGTCCTTGACTTACAACAGTTCATTTAGTGTCCATTCCAAGTTACGACGACACTGGGGAGAAAGCGACTTACGGCTGTTTCTCACAGTTACGACCTTTGCAGCAAAGGTCCCAGGATCCCTGAGATGAAAATCCAGATGCTGGCAACTGACTCATTTTTATGACGGTTTGTCGGAGTATATTCATGAACTGGAACAGAGCTTGGTAACAAGGTCGGCCAACGAATAAGCATAGCAACTAAGTCAGCCAATGAAGACTGTTTGGAAACTGAAACTAGAAGTAGCCTAGGCGTGGCTCTATATATTAAGCTCGGCAAAGCTCTGAGTCTGTCTATTGAAAATGAAACGGCTTCTCTCCTCTGCTGTGTGTAATGCTTGACTGCTGAACTAAAGTGAAACTGACGTCTGTTTTCTGAGCTCCTGAGTTGCTACTGAAGTTACTTGCAAAATGTTTCTATCTGAGTTTGCTCCATGTTGGAGAAATCTACAACTGGTTTGTGAAATCTATGTTTATAAAGACATTAAATGACGCATCAGCCACCTGGGTTTATTTTTCTGGAGCTGGATTCACGCTGCAAAAACTTTGAATACGGGTGTCACGCGATCCCCTTCGGTGACGTCCTCACAAGGAAAATCAACGAGGAAACCAGGTTCACGTAATAACCAGGTTACTAATGTATCAGCTGCAGTGGTTCACTTAACAAACTGTGGCAAGGAAGGTTGTAAACTGGGGACGAGACTCGCTTAACAAATGTCCACACTGAGCAGAAGAAATCCGGGGCCCTGTTGTGGTCCTAAGTCCAGGGCCACCCATGCTACCCATAGCAAGAACGTTACGCAGAAGCTAAGAACGGCAATAATACGGTGCAAAATTCATTAAGTTCAAAGTTGAAAAAAAAATTGTCCCACCTCCTGCTTTGTATGCAAGTGTGTGTGTGTGTGTGCGCGCGCAGATGTTGTATCTGTGCAGACTCAGGAGGGGAAAACAGATACCTGCAGTCATGCCACACACACACACACACACACACCTTTGCAGGAAAGGATTCCTGCTGTAAGACTCACCGATGTTTTCCGGATTGAATGCAGCCACCACGAGCAACAGGGGCCAAGCCTTCCAGTAGAGGGTTGAAATAGCCAGATTTGGAGGGTGGTACCTGCAGGAGAGCCAAGGATACGCGGCAGGATCTTGTTACGTTTTAACGACATAACGCAACGCGCAAAAGAAAAACACAAAATAGCCTTTATTGTCCCGTGTTCGCCGTCCAAAAAGAGAATAACAAAACAACCCCCCCAAAAAGGAAGAATCTCTTCGCGATTACCCCGGAGGCAGCTGGATGTTCTCGGGATGGTGGTAAGTGCACAGGTTCAAGACGGCGTCGATCAGTTGAATCCGCTCCACCCTCAAGACTTCGAGATCTGGAACCCAAAAAAGGGAGCCAGGTATATATACCACGAAGAGGGCTGGCAAATAATTCGCGATCCGCGCACATTCATGAGGGCTGCAGCATCCCGGGGTCGTGGGGGGGGGGGGTCACCAACCAACGGTCCCAGGGAACTTGGAAGAAGCCGGGATCAGCCGTTGCTGCTGCTTCAGGGGTGGCAAAGAATGGCTCACCGTCCGCCTGCACGGCTGCTGCCCGTTTCACCAGGTGGTCGGCCAGCTCCATGGCGTCGGCGGGGCCGAGGGGAAGGTCCCGCGACAGACCGATGACCAGGATGCGCATCAGGGTGTCCTCAAGGATTGGCACTTCGGAGCAAAGGCGGAGGAAGAAGCTGCCCGGGAAAGAGAAGTGGGGGGGGGGATGCTTAGCGGGTCGACACCCAGAACAACAGAGGAGAGACCCACTTCCCAACAGAATCATCATCTCCTTTGAATGATCCCCGTAACCCCTTGCAGGGCGGAGTCTGGGCAATTGAAAGGAACTGACTGTTTACTGGCCGGATGCCCTTCCTGTCACCAATGCGGAGTTTTGTTCAGCAGATAATATTCTCGCCCTGCCCAGAGAGAGACATATCTGCCTCTGCCTAGGATCGAACTCACAGTCTCCTGATTGGGAGAGCTCCCTCTCTTGGCCACCACACCACATCGCGCTTCCCAACAGAATAATAGAACTCGACTGGAATCGTCGCTTTAAATGTGCATTAATCGGTACACGTTAAAATGAGATTTCATCGCATTCAGCTCTCAAAAAAATAAACCACCATGCATACACCCACATACATGACAAGAGAGAAACATCACAGCCTAGTTCACATGTATCCATACACAGGGCAGAAAAAAAATAATAATATTGCGAGTTTACAAGACAGGAGGCCTAGAAAACAAAGCTGGCCCAGAATCTAGTAGTCCTGCTGTAGATTCTTTGAAACCTCCTCCCAGAGGGAAGCAACAGAAACAGACCCTGGAGTGGGGTCGCTAACATGGCTTCCAATGCTCTCAACAAACCACCAATGGTGGTTTGGGTACTGGGCAAAGCCGCTGGTTACGTTTTCCGAGTCACAAGGCTTGAGTTTCAGCAGCTGCGGGCAGCATAACTTGAGCCGGCTTACACTGTGTGGAATGATCTAGAAGCAGGAGAATTCTACCCCGAATCCTTGACGCAGCCAGACACACCCCACTCCCAACCCCACCACTGCAGGGTTCTAGGTTCAAATCCAGCTCCAGATTTACTTGCGGTCGCTCTCCGGGGGCCAATTATCCCATTTGTAGTAGGTCTCAGGTTGCTCTGTGAACAGGACTTTGTGCAGGCTGTTTTAAGAGAGAAGGGAGGGGGCAAACGTGGATCAAGTTCTCAGGGAGCCCCCTTGCAAAACAGGGGGTCCCTGACACGCACATGCACCCCAACGGGTCCCTTCCCTTACCAGTGTATGTATTCTTTCGGAGCCAGCTTGGTGATGGACGGCACCAGCATGTGCAACCACCACACAGCGTCCCGCTGGATGGCGGCGATCTGGTTCTGGAAAGCCCGCAGCCCTTCCAGATCTGGAAGGAAACCCCGGGGAGGGGAGTGGTGAGAAGGCAGCAATTGCAGGCTGACTCTGCCCGCTGTCGAGAGTTCGATCCCGACTTTGATTCAAACCTTCCGAGGTCGGTAAAACGAGGGCCTCGGATTGTCAGGGACAAACACGCGGACGCTGCAAACTGCCCAGAGAATGCTATATAGAGCGGGGGTCCCCCCAGGGATTCGCAGCCACGCCGCGGAAGCAGCCGGCCAGCGTGTGCGCGTTCATGCCATTGACGCGAGCCGCCGGCCCGGGTGGCCGCTGATTGTGCGAAAGGAGCTTGTGCACGCGCGTGTTGGCTGACCCATCCTCTCTCCCATCCGGGGGGGTCTCCGACCGTGTGTCCACTTTAAGACTTGTGCGCTTCCAACTCCCAGAGCTGGCTGAGGAATTCTGGGAGTTGAAGTCCGCAACTCTGCCAAGGTTGGAGACCCCTGCTCCTACCTCCCACCGGTGTGCAAAGCCAGAGAAAGCGTTGGGGAACTCAGGAGCACTACAGGGTAGCATGGGTGCCTAAGCGCCGTCGCTGTCCCCCGTCCCCACCCCACAGGTGAGGGTTGGGGACTCTCCACCCCCGAGTCATCAAGCGAAGCCTCACTTTTCTTCTCGCCTTTGTCCCAGGCCACGCCGGCTTCCTTCACCTGGGCGGTGATACCCAGCATCATGGAGACGGCCAGCAGGTCTGTGATGTGGATGACGAAGCGATCCTGAGGGAGCGAGAGGGTTAGAAACGCCCGCGGGAGGGAGGGAGGGAGGGCGGCGGGAGCGGATCTCGTGGGGGACATGGGAGACAGGCGGTCCTCGACTCAGGACCGCGGGGAGCGCCTCATCACCTTGAACTCCATGTCCGCGTACTGGGCCAACTTCCGCTCCTGCATGAGCCCCAGGCAGAAAGCCTGGAAGTTGATCTCGTGCTTGGTCTGCTTGATGATCTCCCGCAGGAGGGCCCGCGAGGCCCTCAGGTAGTCGTCCTTGTTGGTCAGCAAGTCTTGGAAGACCATGGCCAGGAACTGAGGAGGAAAGGAGAGGGAGCGGAGGAGGGGAGGAGGGAGAGGGAGGGAGAAAGGAGAGGGAGAAGAGGAAGAGAGAAGGGAAGAGAAGATGAGGAGAGAAAGCATACGAGGGGAGGAGGAAGAGAGAGGGAGAAAGAGGAGGAAAGAAGAGGAAGAGAGAAGGGAAGAGAAGATGAGGAGAGAAAGCATAGGAGGG